ATTATATACTATATACTTTCACTTGATATACTACTATACTGTGCTTTCTGACCCTAATATGGACAAGCATCAAGTTCAACACTACTTTACAGAAAACTCATATTTGGCAAATCCTCCTCAAATCAATGCCTCTATTCACACTCTGTACGTCAGCTTGCTCCCCTTCTTCCTCTCCTAATATATCTTAGTGAAGAGTTAAATCACAAAGCTTGCATTATTCAGACTAGAATTCCGAGTTCCTCTCCTATACTCCAGGTGTTAGTTAGTCCAAGGAGTTGCTTAAGGCACTGAAGAACAACATACTCCAGGTCTCGATCCACTGTGACACTCCAGCAGTTCTAGCATTGCAGTCAGCTTATACTTGGCTTGAGCCAGGCCTATGTTAACAGGTTTTGCCAACATAGCTGTGTTGACTTGAGACATGCAAAGATTTACATCTTCTAGCTATCTTCATTGTGGTGGTAAATCCCTTCCTAGGCATGCAGTCAGAAAACAAGAGAACTTTCGTCAGTTATCTAAAGTCATCTGAAGAGAGAGCACTAATATACTGGCAGAAAAATTCTGTGCATTTCTTAATCTGCATCTACATGTGACATGTACAGATTACATTCCTGTTATCACAGAGCATCTAGGGTAGACACATTCATCACTGTCTTTTCATTAACTCAGAGATTTACTGCATCAACTTCCTGCTCAGGAAGTCCAAAAAACAACTCTGTGTAAACAGGCATCTCATCCATTTGCAGAATGTTTTATCCGTTTAACTTTGTAACTTACTTCTATTTAATATTCTTAAGCTTTATATATTATGCAAAATTTTAAAAGTCCTTTTTGAGTTACTTTGAGCCACATCCACCATGGAGAAGGAGAATATATGCAAGGGTTGCCACAGTCAGTAAGCATTGCTCTAGTGTTGCACCTCTAAGTACAGTGTTATTTGGGCTTACAGTGCTATTATTGACAGTGACCTCTTCCTTCTGGAAGTTTGCTTTCAAGACTGCCACTTACGCACTGACGGAGGGAGAGAAATTCTAAATACCTGGAATTTTAGAAAAAGCCAACAACTAACATAAGCCATAAAAAGTTGAAATACTGCCAAAGGAAAGGCTACAAATTTCTCTTCTGTCATTCTGTTGCTAAGAGTGGCTGCAGAAAAGCGAGGTAACTTTTTTAAAGAAAAATAATTATTTCTAAAGACCTGAGAGTTACATGGAAAGATCAAACTAATTTTAGGAAATTACCACAGTGAGCTTATCTTGACTTACAATAATAGCTGTAGCTTTCTAGCTTGTCTCAATTCTCATTTTACTGAACTGGGAACTATGTAATATTCCCATTCTTTGCTTCTGCAAGAGAAGTAACATTTCCTATCTTGCAGTACATTTTTGCTATATTGAATAACCAATTTGCACCTTTTCAAATAATTGATACCTATGGAGGAAAACAGTACTGGCAGAGAAAGTAAGAGTTACAACGTTCAAAGGAAGCTATCTTAGTGATGCTCAGAACATGCACCAGAAATGCAGACTTCACTTGTATACTTCTGGTACCACTGTCCTTTCCTTTTGGGTAGAAGACCATGCCCCTGTAAGACAAATTGAGTCAATACTGCTTTCCAGCAACTTCCTACTGACTCAGTACTGCTTTCTGCCAAATAATTTTGTTGACTTGTCTTCCCACTTGGTGTTCTTGTGCTGTGAACCTAAAATGATTAAAACATCTGCTAAAATTACGAAAGATCATCAACCAATCTTTCACAAGATACACACCAAAGCATTGAGTACAAACATGTCCTACTGCTTTTTTTTTTCCATCTGAACAACTAAAAGTGAGTGTCAACACAAGGAGCTGGCAAAACAACAGTTAACATGTTGCAGTCTTTTTTAAAAACTTACTGGGACATCTTCAATAGTTCATTGGTTTCAGGTTTCCACACTCCTCTCACCAGCTGCTCAAAGTTGGAAATTAGGCCACCACCAGCTCCTGAAATTGCAGAGATTTATGATAAGCCTCCACCGACTGCTACCACTACTGTGCAACTATTACTGCTCCCAGCAAAACTCGTTACACCAGGTGCCAAATGTGGCACCCAAAGCTCAGACTTAAAGAGACTAATCCAATCTTTTATACGTGCATGACTTGAGCAACCGACATGAAACCTCAGAGGTTTAGCTACTTAGCAAGAACCTCACATTTACCTTTATGTGATAGCATCTGAACTGATCACTCATCACTACAAACAAATGCCTGAATTGCCAAAGTAAGTCTCCAGAGAGGCTTATATCATTCCATTCTTCATGTCATCATGTAAGTACAGAGAGTGTCTCTATAAACTAAAAGGACCCTCTGCAAGAAAAGTGGATATGTATTTTTACATTAAAAGAATACAAGACATAAGGAGGTGTTAGACAGTCTGGCCAGTGAGACTGATCTGCATTACAACCTGGGAAAAGAATACGTTAGATCGTAACATTAACACATGTTGTTTCCCAAAGCAGAACAGAATCAAGCAAATAGAAACAAGAGCTGCACTACCACTTCCTGAAGCGGTTCTAACATTGTAACTACAAACACAGCTGCTAGGAAGGTAGCTTCCAGAGTCATACTCCAAACAGCAGGCAGGCAAGAAGGTTCATTCCTGTGTTTAAAATCAGCTAATGGTTACAACCCAAAAAGCTAAGAGAACAATTTCTCTTCTTCAGCCACATGCAAGGAAAACAGCTCTGAGGAAATATGCTGCTGGAAAGTTTAGTAATAGCACTGAAGCTACACAGTAGATCTATTTCTTTATTGCCATCAACTGCCCATCCTACAAGTCCTCACAAGAGCTTCTGAAGGAATAAGATGAACTTCCCTCAAAGTCATTCAATGTCACCCTTAAACCAAGGAGAAAAAATGCTGCACAGGCTTTTCCCTTGAGGACATAACAGACTGTATTAGGACTATCATATCCAGCACAGCAAGGAATGGTGCTACAGTTATGCTGAAGGGCTAGCCATTTAAATACCACTCCAAAATATCACAATCCATCAGAACAAGGTTATGCTTGTTACCTCTGGCCCAGCCCACAGCTACCATGACAAGCCAGGCATCTTTGAAGTGACTATCTGCATGTGCAACGCCAGCTGTTATCTTCCAAGTCCTAGTCACTTCTTTCATTCCTGCAACCAGAAGCCGAAGAGGCAGAAAGGCAAAGCACCGGCAGAATATGTCTTGTGGGCAGTAAAACACAAGATACCTGAAAATCGTAAGAAAACCCATTAGCAGCATTCAAAAGATTTTGCTAAGGAATTCACTTTCTAATAACCTTTAAAGATATTTTTGGAATATGACTGGCAATGCATGATATACTATTGATAACTCACTGTCTTGTGTGATAGACATATTGGAACAAATTTGAAATGCCTTTGAGCATGTTTGATCTCTTGCACCAAAATTATCAAAACATTATTTGAAATTGTTCTTACTGCCTCATTGACCCAAAGAACAATCCATTAAAGTACATGAGAAACAGCTTTAGGTTTTACCAACTGTTCTATAGCTTACACATCGTGTTTCTATAATTCAAATTATTAAATTAATGTCTGACTGACTTTGTGTGGTTTGTTTTTTTGTGGGTTATTTTTTGTTTGGTTGGGTTTTGGGGGGTTTGGGTTTGTTTTTTTTTTAATAAGATTACAACAGGGTGGTTAATTACATGCTGACACCATGCTTTCATACTGATAGGTACATGGAATTACATAACTTCAGCAAGAATGCCTCCACTAGTTAGTGTCATGCCAGATGAAATGCACAACTATTTTCAAATACATTTCACATTTCACAGTAACCACCAATTCTAGCTTTTGCAGCTTGCCAATTACAAGCACATTTCTTTTTTCAAAGCGTTGAAAGCACAGTACTCAAAATTTAATAATATCTTTTATTAACTTGCTTTTAAAACAAAGTAAAGATGGCTAACAATGAAATCCTAGGCTGACAGTAAATTTTAAAAGATTATGTGGTGTTTTATTGTATCTCTTCAATCATAACCAAAATTCAGTTCTTACAGAGACATTCAAAGTCTCAAAAAAAAAATCAAGATTAAGTATCTAGATTATTTCAGCACAGGAATAAGAGAGTAACAATTAAGTAAAAGCAGAGAAAGCCTTTAAAAGATGGGAAGAGTACTTTTTCATTTTCTTAAAAAAACAGATACTTGCCTGTTGGTTTAGGCTTCTGAGCTCAATCCTGTCTACCAAGAAATTCTGTATCCTTATCCTGTTTACTCAGGCTGCAATGCAGAGATGTACCTAGTTTACTTCATTAGAACTACTAGCAGACACCACAACTAGGAAGAGTCATGCTTCATGGTTAGAGATTAGAAATCAGGACAGCACTTGGGGTTTGTTTTTTTTTTTTTTTTTAAAAAAAATGCTTATCCTTTACAGCAGAATGCCAGGAAGCTTCCTCTGGCAAAGTTTAGCTGAAGTCCTGTCCTAGTTACATATTTTCTTTTTCTGCAATGGATATAGTACCTTGCCACTGCAAACTTCTAAAGCTTCTTCTCTTCAAGACCTCCCAGGGTGGAGCATGCAATAGCCTGTTTCTCACATTCAGGAAAGTTATTGGAATTTACATTAACAGCTAACTACTGCTCTGGTGTTCAGTTTTAGCTTCACTTTTGAACTACCTATATTCTTCCTTCTTCTCCTATTGTAGAGTCAATTGCCTCTGTATGTAACCAAGCTTCAGTTGGTACAAAGTCAGAGATGTATATAGAGCATGTATTTTAATGGCTACTGCAAATAACCATTTAAGCCATGTACTCAACAGACAACACTAATCAGAATTAATTTACAAATGTGGGTTTAGGACCCTGAAGCACAGGTAAATGGATTGAACCTAGCATTGCAGGTCCCACCATGGCATTTTTGTCTGCAGTTTCTGCTAGCAACACTTCCTAGCAGTAGGTGTCGCTGTCCTACAGACCATGTAGGAGCATTTCTCAAGCATCACACAACCCCTTTTATTTTCCAGTTTTACGTATGGCTTGGGGAATTTCTTTCACGGGATTTGGGACTGAGAATTAAAGTCATTATACTCATGAAGAGAGAACTTCGTAAAACTAGAAGCTTAAAAGGTTTCATAACATTCACAGCTCCTCATTAAAAACCTCATTTTATTTGTGCACAGCAAATCACATCTGACCATGTTAAGTTCAACAAAAATAACGTTCTGTTTACATGTACTCCTAACTCGTGTCATCGGTTAAAACAAGCAGTCATGTTGCCCACGTCAGACTAATATGAACAATAAGCAGATTCTATAAGCTTTAATACTGCACTATTTATTGCACGTTATTCATTTCACCGATTCGCCTACATGAAACCTGTCATCTTCCATTGCAACATCAAGACCAGAAGACTAATATATAGATATACACAAACAAATAGAAATGCTTACTTTCATTTTAATGAATTTGCAATTATAAAACCTAAGGGCCCATAAGGAACAAATACTACAGGATTTCAAGCAGATAACACTCTTCTAAGATAGCAATTGAGATTCTTAAATTCAAAAACCCACTGCTGCTCACAAATGTTGCTAAGTTTGGGGGTTTCTTCAAAGATTGCTTTCTAGAACAAATGAACTCTACTGGAAGGCCACATTTATATGAAAATAACTCCAGTGTTTTTTTTTAATTCCAAAGCAGGGCAAATTGGTGCCTCATTCACATACCTGACTTCTCATTCAGCTCTCTACTGTTTTCCACTACAACGCCCATTCATTTGGGAAAGGGCAAAATATAGAAAAAAAATTATGTCAGGAAGCAGAAACTAGAGGAGAAGAAAGAAAATCTGTGTCTTAGATCCCCAATCACAGAAAAGTTCAAAATTCTTACATCAGCCAGGTTCTGGTCTTCAAAGAGCTACTGCTGAAAAACTGGACTGCGTTTATGACTTACCTATATCCGGAAAAGCAGTAACTGAAGTCCACTTTATTCCAAAATAATGTGTTCAGCTGTTTGACCAGAAATACTATAAAAATCTAAGGCAAGTCCAGCCTAGTGATTAAGCATTTCGTTATACAACAGCCCATAAGAGTTGTTTTCTTATGAGCATTTTATTCCTGTAGAACAGGATCAGCTAATAATATAATAATAATAACAGCTAATTTGCTGCAGTGACTTTCTGAATGAAGAGACAGCATCCAAATCCGTAACATTTTTAAGTTAAGCTTCTGATTTACATGGAAGCTTGATGGTATAATATCAGTTTGCAAAGTATAGCTTCCTCAGAACCGATGCTACTCATCTAACTCAATTGTGGCTGCTTACCAGACTGAAGATGCCTGTAGAATACTTGTGCCCTTTGCCAGAAATGCTACTGGAGGTTCTGCAAGCATCAACGAAGACAAAACTGAACCACCAAAGCAATAAAGCATAGCACTAAACCAGCAGGCAACTGGACTTCGGACTGACACTTCCACAGCTCCTGGAAAAAAGGGAAAAGATGCATAAAGGGAAATAAACATTTGAGAATCACATCATGTTTTAAAAGTCAGTATTTTTCAAATCATTCAGTCCAACATAGTTCCTTTAGGCAATGAAAAATCCTGCAGAAATCTGTGGGCTTTAACAGGAAAAGTCTTCAGAAATACAAACTTCAGAGTACACTGACTTAAGCACATGCTATCTAAATAAAAGTGAAAGACTGACACTGTGTTCTCTGAACACCTTTTGTGGGTTGGTTTATTATAACTATTTCGCTACCACGAAGAAAAAGCTTTCAGAGCATGGCTGAGAGATCTCATTGTTAATGATCTGGCATAGATATACAGTTGCTTTCAAATTTGTATTAAAAATACACAAGTGACTTTGCTGACCTAGATAGGATTATTATTGGTAACTTTTGGGGGGTTATTCTACAAATTCCATTTCTGCTTTTAAATGTTCATAAATCCAAGGTCACTGTTTTCCTTCTTCCTCATAACGCCCTGTTAACTGTGTTTGCTGACCAAAATGAAAGCAGTATCCAAAACAATTACCGAATAGTTTCACCTGCAATGCTGAACAGAGAAAAAAGGTTACCTGAAGCCATAATAATAAATGTAAGTTTCCCTTGTTATTAAAAGGTTCACAGTTTGGTTTATTTTGTTATCTTTACAATGAATTATCCCTTTTAAATTGCAATTGAACTATGCCAAAAGAGTATTCAAATTAAAAGATTATGCTGGAGGTAATGGCCTTAATCTTAACCAGGCCTTAATCAGTTTCAGGGGGAAATGACACTTTATCAAAGCCAGAAATATCCTCAAGTAGTTGTTTTGACTATTTCCTTCCACTTCACAAGTCCAATGTTGCCAAAGCAGCCCCTCTACACAGGTGCAGAGTTCTGTTGCCTGAATTAGTTTCATTTTCCATAGTCCAAAGGCTGAAGTTCACAAAAACAGAGATGAAACCTAGTGCCTGTCTCAAAATGAAATTTGAAATATGTTCCCAATTCAGAGGAGAAGCTTTTGGTTTTTCAGGCATTTCTGTGGGAAAAGAAGCTTCTTATCCAAGATGAGAAGCTCAAATGTATCAAAGAGAATACAGCACTCTCCACACAACTCAATTCATACAAGAGTATTAACAAGATCGTTGCAGTTTTAGTGCTGGCATAGTTATCACGTATTGCAGCATTATCTAAAATCCTATGTAACAGCCAATTTATAAAAATGAGCACTCCTAAGTATTACAGAATATCTGAATATAAAATAACATCTCTTTTTTTTTAACTATTGCATAATCTTTTTTCCATACTGCAGTACCTGGTGCTCAGCTTTGTTACTGCGTATTACCACTTCTCCAAAGTGGCTATCGATTACGTTCATAGAATCAGAGTGGTTTAGCTTGCAAGGGACCTTAAAGATCACCTAGTTCCAACCTCCCTGCCATCGGCAGGCACACTTTCCCCTAGACCAGGTTGCTCAAAGGCTCATCCAAGCTGGCCTGGAACACTTCCAGGGGTGGGGCATCCACAACTTCTCTGGGCAACCTGTTCCAGTGCCTCACCACCCTCATAGTGAAGAATTTCTTCCAAACATCTAATCTAAATCTACCCTCTTTCAGTTTAAAGCCATTACCCCTTGTCCTATCACTACACGCCCTTGTAAAAAGTCCTTCTCCAGCTTTCTTGTAGGCCCCCTTCAGGTACTGGAAGGCCACAGTAAGGTCTCCCCGGAGCCTTCTCCTCTCCAGGCTGAACAATCCCAACTCTCTCAACCTGTCTTCATGGGAAAGGTGCTCCAGCCCTCTGATTATCTTCATGGCCCTCCTCTGGACTCGTTCCAACAGGTCCACAACCTTCTTATGTGGGGGGCCCCAGAGCTGAACACAGTACTCAAGGTGGGGTCTCACAAGAGCAGCGTAGAGGGGGAGAATCACCTCCCTTGACCTGCTGGCCACGCTTCTTTTGATGCAGCCCAGGATACGGTTGGCTTTCTGGGCTGCGAGTGCATGTTGCCAGGTCATGTTCAGCTTCTCATCAACTAACACCCCCAAGCGCTTCTCCTGGGGGCTGCTCTCAATCCACTCATTGCCCAGCCTGTATTTGTGCTTGCAGAATATTGATGGTTTGTGCTTACTACATTGAGGTATCCTCAATTAAAAAAAAATCTAAAAATGCTGACAGCCATTGCATTCAGAAAAAATCGCAAAATTATATTAAGTAGCCACTCACTGGTCCAAACGAACTGCAGTAGCTTCCTTCTCACATTTAATTATTCTCTTGTTTGATCGCCCAGCCAGCACGGATTCATGAAAGGCAGGTCCTGCTTGACCACCTGATCTCCTTCTATGACCAGGTGACCCACCTAGTCAATGACGGAAAGGCTGTGGATGTGGTTTACCTGGACTTCAGCAAAGCCTTTGAGACTGCCTCCCACAGCATTCTCCTAGAGAAGCTGCTGGCTGACAGCTTAGACAGGTACACTCTTCGCTGGGTAAAAAACTGGCTGGACAG